TTCAGCCAGAGAAACCAGAAGAAGAACATGACATCGCTGAGAAGGCCAAGAGCATTGGTGACAAGATTTCTGGATTGTTCAAGAAGGGTCATGCTCACCTCGATTATCCAGTCTCTGATGCCTATGATGGTCCACTATCATCAATTGATAGAGCCTCTGAAGTACAAGGAGATGCATTAACTCATCACGTAGCTGTGTACCACAGTGGTAAATCAGATGAGCAGCCATCATCAGTTCAGTCAGAGAAACCAGAAGAAGAACATGACATCGCTATAGATGATAAGGTGTTCGATAATCGGATCCCCAATGTGGTCGATGTTCAACATATCCATCCTCAATATCGAACACCTGATGCTTCAATGCTTTCTGATTCATACAAGCGTAATCAACGAGCCACTCCTAAAGTGTTGGATCCTGATTGTGGTCCTGAGGTTGTTAAACTGTCCAGTGTAGGAAACGACGTGGAGTTTCCATCCGTTAGAGAAACAGGGGATGTAAACGTAGAGTTGTCTTTAGACATAGATAAGAGAAACGTTAGTTCTTATTGCAACTCCAACCCAGTACCTCGCAATAACGTTGAATATACTGTTCGAAGCCATTCCATTCTCTCACCCGGACATCTGTTGAAGGATAGTACATCATCTACCGGGCCGCGTGGTTTTTCTGTTTCAATAAGTGCGCGACAACCGGAGCAAAGGTCTCGATCTGATTTATTCTCTTCGAACATTAGAGAATTACCATCAGATAGCTCTTTACTCCGTCCCTCTACTGTACGCACGCTGTCAAGTCGCCAGCGCCGATTGTCACCCCATAACTGGACCACTGTGTATGAGAGGACAGAAATCTCGTATGTTAAACGGATAACTTCTAAGTCTCCCTCACCTACAAGACCATCTTATTCAAACTATGCAATGACTTCTTCACGTACGTCAACAGGGAGACCCAGTACTCAAGTAGCAACAGAAGAGCAGAACTTTACACCTGAGGTGATTAACCCACATTACAGTTCGCCGTCATCCAGGAGAGCTTACAGTCATGAGCCAATGCGTGGTTATAGCACAGAAAAGCCTTCGAAGCGCTCAATGAATCGTCAGGTGCGCCAGCAGTCATCGTCGACTTGTCGATGGACAACTTTTGACGATACTGTTAATGTCCATCACCCTATCTATCCTCCACGCCAATCACCATATGTTCCTATGAAGTCATCGCCCTCGTCAAGGCGTCAACCAACAAATACATTCGGTAAAGTGCGCGAAGTGGCGGCTATCGAACGCACTGAATGGCTTCAACGCTCAGATTACATTCCACCATCTAGACGAAGCGATGATATCTTCACAATTGGAACACCTTTTGTTATTGGTCGTCAAGAATGCGATGAGAACGGTTGTGAATACTTACGCTATCAAGCAAGTGGATTACGTGAAACAGAATTTCCAATGATCGAAGATGGTGCAACTGAATGCCGTCGTGCGACTGTCGAACGACAAAACGAAACCCGTGCCAACAAGCACAATAAACAGAAAAAACAAAAACAAACGAACGGAAACAATCTTCATCAACCTAATATCATTAGTGATGAAGAAATGGAGCAACGACGTCGAACAATGAGAAGAGCACGCCAACGTATGCGAAACTACTGTACGATGCTCTAGAAAACTTCATAAAAATAGTTCCAGATAGATAGATATCATTATAATTGAAGTTTTCATAATAAAATTCTCTTTCTCCGACCATCTCTCTTTATATATAAATCTCTCTCTCTCTCTCTCTTTCTCTTTCTCTTCTTCGATCCATCTTTCGTACTGTAGTTGCTTAGAGAAAGGTTAACGTCTTTGACTCGGGTATTTGCCATTTCTATTTCAAAGATTTTATTGAAATGTTTTTATTCTGTTAATAAATATTTTTATTAATCACTGATTTACTATATTCTACATAAATGATACAAAGAACACGCACATACGTAATCGTGCTCTAATGCGAATTGATTGCTCTATTCATTTTCATATTTGATCACTCTGCCAATTATGTCTTCGACAATGAGAGCTTAACATGTTAGTAATACTCCACAGAAAGTTGTGAGATTCTTCTTCCTTTCGGTCGAACCCAGCACAATCTAACCACTGTGTATTGAGTTCACAGAACTGTCGAAGCTTACTCATTCTCTGTGTGCTAAATGATTCGAAATTCCTCAGCCCTCAATTTCCCAGTTCTAAACTTATATTCATTTCTTTTCTGTCGGTGTTTTCAATAACTTGTTTACTTGAAAACACTTAATATCTGAGATTCTTCTTTTTTCTGTTTTTTTACTTTTCTGAGTTGTTGGAGAGTTGTGCTTCAAGAAAATATAAGAGAAAAGGTTGTGAATGAAGGTTTATCAGAAAAGTGTTTAAGAAGCAGCGTTCCATTGAGGCCAGCAGTTGTAGGTAGTGTTGAATCCAGTGACAGCC